CTGTTTCTGAGTTGAAACCGAACCTTTCCAACTCCTGGTGTTGGATCATGGTCCGGATTGGGCCTCGGAATCACAACATTCACCAAGTTACCTGCAAACAACAGTGAATATCGAAATTTTTTACCACATAAAAGCCTGAGTCCGTTCTAGTAGCCGAATGTCAGCCACATAAAACATAATCAATTCCTTACCAAATTTTCCAGCTTCTTGTCGCATGTCTTCCATTATATCTGCATATTCTTCGTCGTCTCTAAGATCATCAGCTGTAACCACTTGAGTTAAGCAGACAATCTTGGTGGGCGTGCCTCCTGGTTGTAGCATAAGCCTCTGCAACAAAATTTGTGACAAACTTAATTAGTGATCTTCACGAAGTTTAGATATAGTAAAAGCCAAACGGTATATACAGACCGAGTATGAAGTAAAGAGACACTCAATTAAATAAAGACTTCACCTGCAAAGCAATCTGCTGTTGGGCATGAAGTAATACTTCTTCTTGCTCAGGTTTAGGTTGAATCGCACCCTGGATTGCACGCCTAACTGTAAGTGTCTTATCACCCATCTTAATCCCATTTAGGGCAGCACATGCAATGTCTGTAACTGAAGGATCTTGGTAAACACAAAACGCATATCCCTTCGAGTTTCCTGTTTCCCTATCTTTAACCAAGTTGAATCCTCTTAGGGGCCCAAAAGACTCCAAGAGCTCCCTGATCTGTTCTTCTGTGAAATAATAAGGAAGCCCACCCACAAAAATGCGGTCTGGACCCTCAAGCCCACCAGTAGACCCGGTAGACAATCCGACAGCCGCCAAGTTGAGATTGGCATTAGGCTGGCTCGGGCCAAGAGTTGCAGCAAGAGACGGGTTATAGTCAGTTGGCCTCCTTACCTTGACAGGTACTCCCTGTGGATAACCAAAGCTAAGATATCAATACTCACGATACATATTGTAACTAATAATAAAACAACAATACTGAACATCTAAACTGACAACGAAATAGTGAATCACCTCTAGTATTATGCCATCTAATGCCATTGCGTTACTAGCCTCCTCAACAGATCTCATCTCTACAAAGGCAAACTTCTTTTCATGGTTTATATAAACATTGACCACCGCATCACCTATGAATGAAAAATAAAAAGAGGATAAGTTTTTGCCTAGATATGTCAATATTTGGACAAGAACAACGAATTTTTAGTACCTGGCCCAGCAGTGTTTCCCCCAATGGCCGACATCACTTGGCTAAAGAACGTTGCCACTGACTAGAACATGGAAAACCATTCTCAGTAGTCAATACAATGGATATTGCCAACAAAAATAATGGTTTAAAAGACCATAATAGACAAAAAGTAACAAACCCTTTGAACAAAAGAAAGAGTAACAAACCTGTTCGTTTGCAGTGGGTGGAAGGCCACCAACATAGACTCGTCGAGCATGCCTAGTTGCCTGCGATTATAACATATTCATGGGAAGGGAATCAAGAAAAATGGTGAAAAACATAAGAATAAGATAGGTCGATGGATCATACCTGCTGTGTCATTGCCTGAATTGGCATTACAGGATTCGCACCCAGTTGCTAAGAGAGAAGAAATTGACAGGTCATGGATATTACCACATCGAAACAAGAAAAAGAAGAATTATATACATGTAACGACTAACAACTAAAAGAATAAAAATGTATAGATTTATACCTGACCAGGGACCATTGTGAACATATTGGGGAACATCCCAGGAATACTAGCATTAGCTGGCACACTAGGAACCTGGCCTGCTATAGAACAAGTAGCACATATCATAGACTGTTCGTCACAAATTATTATTTTTTTTTCTCAGAGGAGCAAGAAACAGACAACCAACAAGTACAAAGCTACATATAACACCTTCTCACCGACAAAATCTACTAGTACAGATTATCCCAACATCTTATGGATATTAGCAGATAAAAAGTTTAATGCAATATCTCTTTAAAGTTGTCAAAATATGTAAGGCTAGAAAACAGGCATATAGTTGCCAGTCGAAGATGAAGAATACCCATGACAACCGTTGCACTGATTCCTCCTTGTACAATTTAAAGCTAGAGAGTTCGGCACATTGTCAGCACAGTAGGGCAACTTACT